GGAAATGTTTTTGTACAGCTGTACAGTGTGTTTATGTTAAGCTCTATTGTTAAAAAAGAGTTACGAAGTAAACAATTTTTGTTTATAAAGTTAAAAAGTTACAGTACGCTAAGATTAATTTATTATTGAAGAAAGAAAAATTTTCAGCTGGGCACGGTGGCGCAGGCCTGCAATCCCAGCACTTTGGGAGGCCAAGGCAGGAGGATCACTTGAGGTCAACAGTTCAAGACCAGCCTGGCCAACACAGCAAAAACCCATCTCTACTAAAAATACAAAAAATTAGCTGGGTGTGGTGGTGCGTGCTTGTACTCCCAGCTACTCAGGAGGTTGAGGCAGAAGAACTGCTTGAACCTGGGAGGCAGAGGTTGCAGTGAGCTATGATTGCATCACTGCACGCGAGCCTGGGTGACAGAGTGAGACTCCGTCTAAAAAAAAGTTTTATATATAAATTTAGTGTAGCCTAAGTGTACAGTGTTTAATATAAAGTCTATGGTGGTGTACAGTAATATCCTAGGTCTTCACATTCACTCACCATTCACTCACTTAGAGCAACTTCCAGTCCTGTAAGCTCCATTCATGGTAAGTGTTCTCTAAAGATGTACCATTTTTTATTTTTATATCACATTTTTACTGTACCTTTTCTATTTATAGATACATTTAGATACACAAATTCTTACCACTGCATTACAATTGTCTACAATATTCAGTACAGTAACATGTACAGGTTTGTAGCCTGGAAACAATAGACTACACCAGGGGTGTCCAATCTTTTGGCTTGCCTGGGCCACATTGGAAGAAATGTCTTGGGCCACACATAAAATACACTAACAACAGCTGATAAGCTGAAGAAAAAAAAAAAAAGGAAAAAGTTGTCCTGAGCCACAGCAGGACAGGTTTGGGCTACACCATATAGCCCAGGTGTGTAGTATAAGTACACTCTGATGTCTACACAATGATGAAATTGCCTAATGATGCATTTCTCAGAATGTATCCCTGCCATTAAGTGATGTGTGACTGTACTGAAAAGAACTAACGAGTCTAGGCGTAAGTCAATGGGGGCCTGGCCAGGCAGTGGAACAGAAAGGAAAAGATACATTGGAACTAAAGACCTAGTGATTAACCAGATGTAGGGGCTTGATGGAGAAGGAAGACATCTCCAGCCTTTCAGGTTTGGGTGACAAGCAGAAGAATGGTGGTGCCCTTGATTGGGAAGTTCAGAGAAAAAGCCCATTTGAAGAAGCCAAGTTTAGTTTTGGAAATAATGGGTCTAGATTCACAGTAACAAGAGTCAGTATGGAACAGGAAAAGAGGAGATAATTTAACTCCTAGGCTTGACACTCTTAATGTGACCCTGGACAAATCTCTTACACTTTGTACCTCAATTCCTGCTTCTACAAAATGGGGATAAAGATTAAAGGTGATACAGTAATAAAGCAACTAGCAGAGTACCTGGCACTTGGAACACTATAGTTATTATTATAATTAGGTATCCTGTACATAAATGGAAACCATAGGCTTCAGTGCTCAAGGGACTGATATGGAAGGCCTGGCAGTCCCTGACACACAATAAC